CTTTTACTATTAATAATATTTTATGTTATACTTTATTACTTTTTTTATTTTTTACATTTTTATTTGTTTTTTTACTTTAAATTTGTATTTATCTTATTATCTCTTCCTTTTTTTAAAATTTATTGCATTTTTTACTTTTTATCAATTTTTTTAAATTTAAATTATTATTTCTTATTATCTTTAACTTTTTTATTTGTATGTATGTTATAATTATTTACTTTTTATCAATTTTTTTTTACTTAACGTTATTGCTATCACACAGGAGCTAACAAGGTTCCCCTGTGTGATAGCATTTGGAGGTGACAGGTTCTCTTTATTGAACCTGTTACCTCCAATACAGGAGTTTGAGCACAGCACTGTGCTGGAAGTCTTGCGACAGCTGAGATGGATGAACGGATGTTCTCTGCTCTGCTCCCCGCTCTCCATCCTGAACTACCTTGCTGTGGTCCAGAAAGAGTGGGGGACCCCGAAACTACACCGGCGAGGGAGGTGGTCAGTGGGGACAGAGGAAGCTGAAGGTGAAGGCGGCGGGGGAGGACGGACGAGCATACGTAATACAGGTGATCTGGGTCACTGGTACAAAATGAGCTGCTCTACATTTAGCTTTGCTTGCCTGAAGTAGGGCTAAATGTAGAAAAAACAACCCACCTGGTGCCCAGAACTGCATGTCCCGGGTATCGGGCAATAGGAACTCCACACCCCTGCTGCCCCTCTACTCCCTGCTGCCCCGAGGCCGGGCCTTGGTGGCCTTGTGGGAAATCCAGCCCTGATTATGGCATTACCCAGTGCAGGCACCCCCTCCGCTGGGACCGCTACAACCATCGATACAAGAGCTTCATGAGCCAGCCTGGCACATACCCGAGGATGAGTATGTCGTCGTGATTGTGCTGAGGTCGCTGTCCGTGATGGAACCACAACTGCATTCAGACAATGACCCAATCACCGTGACCGGGGCCGTGCTGGGGTGTCGCAGTGCCGCCTTAAGGGGAGCCAGCTGGTTGTACTGGACGGAGGATAGACATCCGATAAAACCCAAAGAATTGGCTTTGGTCACTTCTGGATCCAGTCTGGGATTATCTGTAAGACAAATAACACCACAAAAAAAGGCATAAACCATGTGCCAGGACGAAATAGTAATAATAATTAGGGATGCACCGATATATCGGCCGAAAATGGCACTTTTGGCATAATGCCAAAAGTGGATTTTTTTTTGGCTGAAACGGTGGTGCATCTTTCCTTTCTCTCCTCCCCGCTTGGCGCTGCTCTGTGTCCCAGCGGGGAGGAGAGAAACTGTGACAGGTGGCCGAGCGCTGCGGGACGAGAGTGCTGTGAGTGGCCGGCGTCTCCTCCCACACCGCTCAGCCGCCTATCACAGTCCAGCAAGGCGGTGTGGGGGCGGAGACAGGCCGCGCTGTCACAGGAGGCTGAGCTCTCCTCCCCGCACCGCTCACTCAGCCTCCTGTGACAGCGTGTCAGAGAGGAGAGCAGGTACAAGCAGTCAGTGATGAGTGATCTCTGAGTGTTTGTAGATAATTGAGGACATGGTATGGTTACTGTATCATCAATTATGAATGAATGGGAAGTGATCTACATCACTTCCTGTCCATTCATGATTGTGGTTATAGTAAACATACTCTGTCCTCGTGTTATGAATGAACAGGAACACTCATAGAAGATTCCTAATCATTGATAACAGGGGATACAGAAAAAGAGATCACTCAATCTCTCAATTGATCACTCAATTGAGAGATGTTACCCTAAGGAGAACTATGGGGAAAAGCCTTAACCCCATAGTTCTCCCTTAATAATTGAAATACATATAAAAACATAAAAAGTTTTTTAAAAAAAATAAAATATTTGAAAAGATTGAAAAAAATAAAAATAAAAAACATTTTCGGTTTCGGCCTGACAATTTTTTTATTTTGGTTTTGTTTCGGTTTTAAAATATCCATTTCGGTGCACCTCTTATAATAATAATTACAGTATAGACATGTACTGCTTTTTTTTGCATGTATTGCATCTCTGGAACACGGATACATTTCTTTATGTTTTACACCATTAATTACCCAGCAAATACCGAAAAATACTTGTTGACCCGCCAGAAACGCACTCAGTTCCCAAGTCCTGTTGTGGGCTGACAACACAATACGTTTTAATTCTTCTTATCGCAGACTAAGGTTTACATGTCCCTGTTTGAAATTCTAATTTAATAAAAGAAATGCGGAATATTTAACACAGATCTGTCAGACAACACTGGAAATGGGATGTTTGAAAATTGGCAATTGTAAGTTGTTGTTATTGTCAAGCAAATCTTTCATAGATAGTTTATGAAATCCTTTACATATGTTCGAAGAAACCTCAATGAGGTTTATGGGCTAACAAATCATTGTAACTGAGTCCCTCCTGCATGTTAGTCGGCAGTCATCTCTGTGGATTTTCTGTATCCGTTTCTGAGAGTTCATCAGTGGAAAGTATTCACTGATAATGAAGTGATCTCTCACACGTCAGCAGCAAACCATGACACATATTTTATGACATGAGATAAGGTTAGAGTTAAGGCTGCAGAAAGCAAAACAAATGCCTCCCTTGTGTCTCATTTACTTCCACCCAATCATATTGGACCCTTCATATAGTATAAATGGGTAGCTGGCTAAACAATACCCGGGGATATAAGTTTAGGGATGCCCATTTATAATTCCATTGTAAAGTTCAATTTATATACTCATTCGGTTCCAGTGTTAGGCTAGAGTATTGCCAAAGATGCATCATGATCCCCCTGCTGGGGGGACTATTTGTGCTGCATGCAGACTTTGCTCATCAGCTGCCTAGACCCACTTACAGGTCTCATCAGCTCCACCCCGTGTCCCTCCTACAAATCATTTCACGTTCCACTGATCCTAGGTAAGCATAGTAAATGCTGCATGAAGCAGCCAAGCCACAATGGCTGTATAACAGGTGCTGGGTCAAGCAGCAGTAACTTTGCAATATATGTGACTTGGACTTGGATGTCAGGTCACACAGACTGTGCAACAAGCGCTGGACAAAGCAATCAAGCCATGGCTGTTTTACTGTTAACACTGAACGTCCAGAGTAACTTTTCATATAGAAGTGCCATTCAGTTGTGCCACAATAGCTGTATAGCATGTGCTGGATGAAGCAGTCATGTCACAATAGCTGTATGATAGGTGCTGGATCAAGCAGTCATGTCACAATAGCTGTATGATAAGTGCTGGATCAAGCAGTCATGTCACAATAGCTGTATGATAAGTGCTGGATCAAGCAGTCATGTCACAATAGCTGTATGATAAGTGCTGGATCAAGCAGTCAAGTCACAGTGACTTTGCAGTCTATGGGACCTGGACGTAGATGTCAGGTCACAATGACTGTGCAACAAGCGCTGGATAAAGCAATCAAGCCACTGCTTTACTATTAAAAATGAACGTCCAGAGTAACTTTTCATATGTAAGTGCCATTCAGTTGTAACACAATAGCTGTATAACATGTGCTGATAAAAAGCAGCCAATTCACAATAGCTGTGTGATAGGTGCTGGATCAAGCAGTATTGTCACAATAGCTGTATTATATGTGCTGGATGAAGCAGTCATGTCACAATAGCTGTATGATATGTGCTGGATCAAGCAGTCATGTCACAATAGCTGTATGATATGTGCTGGATAAAGCAATTAAGTCACAATAGCTGTACAATAGGCACTGGATCAAGCCGTCATGCCACAATAGCTGTATGATAAGTGCTGGATCAAGCTGTCATGCCACAATAGCTGTATGATAAGTGCTGGATCAAGCTGTCATGCCACAATAGCTGTATGATAAGTGCTGGATCAAGCCGTCATGCCACAATAGCTGTATGATAGGTGCTGGATCAAGCCGTCATGTCACAATAGCTGTATGATAGGCACTGGATCAAGCAGTCATGCCACAATAGCTGTATGATATGTGCTGGATCAAGCCGTCATGTCACAATAGCTGTATGATGTGTGCTGGATCAAGCAGTCATGCCACAATAGCTGTATGATAGGCACTGGATCAAGCAGTCATGCCACAATAGCTGTATGATAAGTGCTGGATCAAGCCGTCATGCCACAATAGCTGTATGGTAAGTGCTGGATCAAGCCATCATGCCACAATAGCTGTATGATGTGTGCTGGATCAAGCAGTCATGTCACAATAGCTGTATGATAAGTGCTGGATCAAGCAGTCAAGTCACAGTGACTTTGCAGTCTATGGGACCTGGACGTAGATGTCAGGTCACAATGACTGTGCAACAAGCGCTGGATAAAGCAATCAAGCCACTGCTTTACTATTAAAAATGAACGTCCAGAGTAACTTTTCATATGTAAGTGCCATTCAGTTGTAACACAATAGCTGTATAACATGTGCTGATAAAAAGCAGCCAATTCACAATAGCTGTGTGATAGGTGCTGGATCAAGCAGTATTGTCACAATAGCTGTATTATATGTGCTGGATGAAGCAGTCATGTCACAATAGCTGTATGATATGTGCTGGATCAAGCAGTCATGTCACAATAGCTGTATGATATGTGCTGGATAAAGCAATTAAGTCACAATAGCTGTACAATAGGCACTGGATCAAGCCGTCATGCCACAATAGCTGTATGATAAGTGCTGGATCAAGCCGTCATGCCACAATAGCTGTATGATAAGTGCTGGATCAAGCTGTCATGCCACAATAGCTGTATGATAAGTGCTGGATCAAGCTGTCATGCCACAATAGCTGTATGATAAGTGCTGGATCAAGCCGTCATGCCACAATAGCTGTATGATAGGTGCTGGATCAAGCCGTCATGTCACAATAGCTGTATGATAGGCACTGGATCAAGCAGTCATGCCACAATAGCTGTATGATATGTGCTGGATCAAGCCGTCATGTCACAATAGCTGTATGATGTGTGCTGGATCAAGCAGTCATGCCACAATAGCTGTATGATAGGCACTGGATCAAGCAGTCATGCCACAATAGCTGTATGATAAGTGCTGGATCAAGCCGTCATGCCACAATAGCTGTATGGTAAGTGCTGGATCAAGCCATCATGCCACAATAGCTGTATGATGTGTGCTGGATCAAGCAGTCATGTCACAATAGCTGTATGATGTGTGCTGGATCAAGCAGTCATGCCACAATAGCTGTATGATAGGCACTGGATCAAGCAGTCATGCCACAATAGCTGTATGATAAGTGCTGGATCAAGCCGTCATGCCACAATAGCTGTATGGTAAGTGCTGGATCAAGCCATCATGCCACAATAGCTGTATGATGTGTGCTGGATCAAGCAGTCATGTCACAATAGCTGTATGATGTGTGCTGGATCAAGCAGTCATGTCACAATAGCTGTATGATATGTGCTGGATCAAGCAATTAAGTCACAATAGCTGTATGATAAGTGCTGGATCAAGCAGTCAAGAAGCAGTAAACTTTGCAATCTAAGTGACTTGGATGTCAGGTCACAAAGACAATGTGCATCAAGTGCTGGACAAAGCAATCAAGCCGCTGTTGTTTTATTGCTAACACTGAACATCCAGGTTAACTTTGCAATAGTTATATGTATATGTGTCATTCTGGGGTGTATGCCAATAAATCTTGTGGAGTTGATAACTTCCTGTGCTGCAATGTATCACATTGTTGTTCTTAGGTTTTGATACACTTTAACTCTATGGGATCTATCCCGGAGTATCAGTCCTGCGAGGAGTGGCGGCCCCTTTAACAATATACGTTACAAATTGCTGGCTTGGGCACATTTTTCGAATGATTTGTTCTGTGAGCAAGACTCGTATCCGGCAGAAAAATTTGTTTCACAATGTTGTTATCTCTGAGAACTGCTTGCAAATCTGTAACGGAGAATAATGGATTGCCCGCAGGGATCCCGAACCAGAAAGCTTTGCTGAAACAATTGTATCTAATAAGGCCGGAAACAATAATATATACACAGCAGCAGCAACGAGCGTGGAAACCCGCCACTGACAGCCAAGGCAGCGACTACAACAATGGCGCTCTGCCTTTTCATTGTGAAGGGCGTGGAGTCCGCCTGCGACAGTCTGCT